AAATCCGGCCTCATTTTGAATTTTCGTGCATATGAGTTTCTGTGTGTTTTGGGGTGGGTGAGGGGAGGGGGTGCAGGAGCGGGGTGGATTATGGGTTGTCTGACCTGCAGGGAGGGAGGAGGAGGGAGGCATGCCACGTGGAAGGAGGGCGGAGGGAGAAGGGAAGCTATGGCGGACAGGGAGGGAGGGAGGCGATCTGGCAGGAGGGAGGAGGAGGGAGGGGTGCCACATCGAAGGAGGGAGGAGGGAGGAAGGGGAGAGGAGATATGGCGGGCAGGGAGGGAGGTGATCTGGCGGGAGGGAGGAGGGAGGACTATGGCAGGAAGAAGGAGGGAGGCACCCTGGTGGGAGGGGGGAGGAAGGCTATGGTGTGAGGGGTGACAAAAGCGGGATGGAGGAGGGAGGACTATGGCGGGAGGGAGGAGGAAGGCTATGGTGTGAGGGATGACTATAGTGGGATGGAGAAGGGAGGACTATGGTGGGAGGGAGGACGGAGGACTATGGCGGGAGGTACGAGGAGGTAGGAGGAGAACTCTAACAGACGTATGAGGAGGTAGGAGGCTACTAGGAGCACAACTCTAACGAAGAAGAAGAAAGAAAGAAGAAGAAGAAGACTATGGCGTCCAAGACGAACTGAATAGAGTAAGGAGAGGAGGAAGAGGAAGATGATGAAGAAGAAGGGAAACTTTAAGAAGAAACGATGAAGAATAAGAAGATATAGAAGAAGAAGAAACGACAAAGAAGAAAAAGAAGAAGACGAAGAAATGACGAAGAAAGAAAAGAACACGACGAACACAACGAAATGGAGTAGAAGAAGAAGAGGAAGAAGAATGAGATGAAACGACAAAGAAGAAAAAGAAGAAGAAGAACAAGAAGAACAAGAAGAACAAGAAGAACAAGAACAACAACAACAACAACAACAAAAAGAAGAAGAAAAAAAAAAACCCTTACCTGAGTGGGCAATGGCGGCGCAAGCACTCTTCCTCGGGGGCGAGGAGGATGGCGCGGCTTGACAGCGACGATGATGGCGCGGCCTGAGGGTGGCAGGGTGACGACGACGATGACTCGGCAGGGCAACGATGACGATGACGTGGATGACCACTGCAGGGCGACAACGGCGCGGTCGACCGAGGCAGGGAAACGACCTGGCGCAGGGGGGTAGGGCGGAGGGCACAGGGCTGCGCACCGAGTCCCAAGATTCAAATTCAAAACCTTGGGACTTCCGCGCCGTCAATCAACGCAGATCGACGACCCAGGTGCAAAAAATGGGAAAAAAAACGAAATGGGGCCTACCGGACCCCGAAAAAATTTGCGGCCGCCGGCAGAACTTTTTTTTTCCTGTGGACCTTCAGCCCACAGCGTGGATTTGTTTTTTTGAAGCGATTTGGGGGGGGGCGCTGTGGGGGCCCGGGTGCCTGGCCGGGGGGGTTGCACGGCCGGGCGCCCCGTGTGCCCTTCCGGGCGACCTGGGGTGGCCCCGGCGCCCGGGCTGGAAAGCTAGTTTATTGTTTTTGCGCTGGGGCTGCCCGGGCCCATGCCTGGGGGTCATGCCCGGCCGGTCACCCGGTTGCCAAACCGGGCGTGACGTCGGGACCTGGGCGCCCGGGATATCTCCCTTGGTTTAAGGGCTTTTCCCCAGGGATGGTTTTTCGTCCCACGTTCTTCCGTCCTTGGTATGTTTTGCCAGTCTGAAGGTCCGATGTGGAATGCATTATTAATTTATTATGTATTACATGTATTATATTTGCTGGCTCCATTTCGCGGTGTTTTGGCTTCCTTTGTGCGGTTTTGGTTTCTCTCTGTTTGTGGTGCCATTTGTTGGTTCGCATTTTTTTCGTCCACGTTTGCATCTCCATACATGTGTGCCTTTGTTCTTTGAACTTCTTTCTACAATGATTCTGTTTACATGGCATGTGTTTTTTGTATGTGAGACAAGTCTGCAGACTGCCAAAAGTGATGTCCACCCTTTCGGTTCCGGGCCCTGCGTTCTCAGTGTTGTCTGCAGTTTATGTCCTGTATCAATGTCAGTCTTTTGCCGAAAGATGAAATGGCTTGACGGACTGAGAGAACAGGAGGCCGGATTGTCCATCACTGCCGGTCAACACGGAACATGGCAGTTCGGGACATGTGCAGTCCCATGACAGCTATCCCGTCTTGGGGTCAGCTCTCCCGAATCCACCTTCCGCGCTTGGCCGCCTGAAATGGGCAGTTTTCATTCTTTTTTCAGGTTTGGTGTGTTCTGTTGGTAGTCATATACGGATGAAAGTGATTTCAGCTGTGGACAGTCTTGCACATCTGCGCCGTTTTCGCCCCTTCTCCCCGTCCTTCCCATCTGTTTAATGAATGGATTTATCTACTTTATGCAGCATCATTTCAATTGCCTCTTTTGTTTTTTCTTTTTTTTTCCATGTTTTTCGCGGCATTCTTTTTCTGGCTTGAGGTCCGCATCGACCTGTCGGGCCTGCTCTGCGTGATCCCAGAGTTGCGTGGTGCGGTGCCGAGCCGACACAGTCCACAAATGAAGAATTGCCCTGAGCTTGGGCTGTGAATTGCCTAGTGCCCGTGCATTTCCAATTTTCCAGACCCTTCCGTCTGTTCCTCTGTTGGCTTTGCGTGTCCTCGGTTTTGCAAATCCTGACTCGATGATTCCAGAGCACCCTTGCATTTCCCCTTGTTTAGATGTTCGTTTGCATGTCATCACATTGCCGCGTGTTTAAATAAATGTTGACATGGGTTTGTCAATGTGCTTTTGTTTTTTCTCTCCTGCTTCATAACCTTCGCCTGCCATTTCCCCCCACAGGTTGGCTCTCGCATGCCTCCTTTCTTCCCCTCCACTGCACCCCATTGCGCTCATATATTAAATATCCCTGTCAGTTGTAAGCCTTCGTCTGCAACACTCTCCTCATCCCATCGAACAGCACCGCCAATACCATGCATATGCAACCTGCCGCCCTTTTACCCGGGTCTGTCTTAAAGTCATGGCAGGCCTGGCTCCTTCCACGTCTAGAACACGGAAAAGAGCTGGTCCATGGCAAGAGGCTTTGATGCTTCATAGATCTTTTGAGAATCTCCCTTCTGGCCATCACCTCCTGTCCGCATAGCTGAAATTGTGTTCTGCAAGGCGGGAACGCCTAGAAACGCTCCCCGCTGTGCCTGCTGATCGTTCTGCCGTCCCTCCTGTCCAACCCGCTCACATTCCCTTCCCATCAGACATTCAGCTTCTGCACTCAGTTGCACCGGAGAATGCGTCGTCGTTGGGTTCGGAAGAGCGCAATCACGTGGCATCCAATGTGCCTGCTTTGCATGCGCGTCCAGCAGCTGGCTTTCCTCATGCTGGACCGCACATTGGGAGTCCGGGTCCTTCTGCATACGTCCCCACAGTCCCAGGATCTCGGAGGAGTCTGTCTTCGCTGTCCGATGATTCTTCGGACCCTTTCGCAACCTCCGCTGCCCGCATTGTCTCTCGCTTATCCGCCAACAGCCCTGGGCCCAACGACTCTCGTGCCTTTGATGCTGAACCAAATATCTCTGCTGCGCCGTGGGAAACACGAGCCAGGCTGCGAAAAAAAGGTTCCCTCGTGAACAGCTCCAGAACTAATTCCCCCAGGCATAACTTCTCTCATCAATGTCAAAACAGAAATATCCCGCCTCCACAGATTCTAGTCGCTCCGCTGCCAATGATAACTCCACAGAGCGGATTGCAATTTTCCTTGGACTTTCTCTACCACGAGACCTGCCAAGCATTCAAACACCCTTCCCCTCTGGTTGCCCTGTCTTCACAAAATCCGGTCGGAGTACATGCTTCATCTTCGTCGTCGCTCCCAAAACGTCATTTGATCTCCCCCAACCATCAGGTTTCACTTGGCAACTCTCTCATTGTGAAACACTCTTCCAGCGAATCTCCTGGCATACCCCAAAATTCAGTGCCAAGATTAGAAGAGGGAAGTGTGAGTCCTCTTGCCCTTTTGCAACATGTAGTTCAACTCTCCAGACATGCTCAACAGCTTCGGAATGCCGTCATAGGAAACTCTAACAGCACCACTGTACAGAATTATCCGTGTGCAGCTTCTGCGGTCCGTTCGCCATATTCATCCAGGAGGTCATTCCCAGTGTGCTCCTTTGATTATCGTCAACGCTTCCCGCCAACTGACGAAGTCCACCCACTCTTCCAATCCGGATGCACGGCTCTCATCTTGTCTTCCGCTCCCTTTCTGTTCGGCATCTGTAGGACGTGCACAACAGTTTTCTCGCTGTCAGCCTGTCGTAGCTGGTTTGTCCCCCCTTCCCTCTCGTGCAGCCGCCCAACATGCTACCCACGATGTTCCCCCCTCGCAATCCTTCTCGCATGGTCCGTCCCCTGTCTTCCCTGCACAGCCAGTGATCTTGCCTCAAGTGCTGCCACACCTTGCTCAGAATGCAGCCACTGCTCAGCCAAAGACTCAGCTCATTGCTGGTTGGCTTAGCCAGGAAGCGAGACAGCGCCGGGTGAGTATTGTCCACTTGAAACGTCACCCATGTGTGCGCCTGTTCCTCTTCCTCGCAAGACAAACCGGACAATGGTGCAACAGAATACAAACCGGACAATGGCACATTCCAATGCACATCCTGTGGTGCGAGCAAGTGTTGCTGTTCCTCACACCTTGCATATGAACAATCACATCGAACTCCTTGGGAGGTTTCAGACAGCCGGTCAGCGTCGGCTTGCTCTACCCAAGGAAGGCAGCCCGCAGTTTCAAGCACCTAGTCCGCCTCCTCCGCGGACTTCACGTCCGGCAGCAATGCAGCCTCGTGAGATTGATACGGCTGAAATGATTTGCCATGCCTTTTGCACATCAAACCACAATAGGTTAAGGAGAGCCACAATATGTTGTCAGACAAGGGAGCGGTGGATCGGACAAACCAATGCCAACCAGGAAATGATTCCATCCCTGACCGCTTGTGAAAGGAGACACCACAGAAAAGAATGTGTAATTCAGAAATGGGTCACACGACGATGTCATCATGCAGTCCACCGTTTGTCTTCTGAGCGCGTGCAGCACAGGGGCAAAGATTCCGCAGGAAGTAGCAGGGACTCCAGGGAGGCAACTTGAAGCTACCGCAAGAGCGATGCACCCCTGATGACGCAGAAGGCCTGCAAGAATTGTGTCAATGCAAAATGTCTTACCTGTGCCAGCAGGTGCATCATCGAAAACACAAAGAGGAGTTCTTTTGAGCACAGGATCCACAACTCCCTCGACGAGCGTCGAGCACACATTGCGAGGCGTGCAGGAGAGGCACATTGGTTTCCCAAACACGGTTAAGCTCCCCCTTGTCATATTCCAACTCTTCTTGGATCAGTTCTAGCAGACCATGAAATAGGAGACGACTGCGGAGCTGCTTAGCACAATGCAAAGATGCCATGTCTGGGAACGACAAACGGACAGCGGCTATGTTTGTTTTCATATCCACCAGCTCAGCATCAATGTCAAGAAGTGCAAGAGCTTGCAAGACTGCAGGAGAGAGGGTCAGATGAAGCAGCTTCCTAAGGTAGTCTTCAGACATAACCTCCCAGTACTCAAACTACAAAGACATAGGATCAACAAGCGGTCCATATGCCAAGAGCATGGCAAAGACTTGACGAATTTGGAAGGGCATGTAATTGCTTGTGGCAGCGCTCACGTCTTTGTCATATTCTTTGTCATCATCCAATAGGTGCAAATGTTGACAAACCTCACGAAATGTTTGCTAGGTTATGTTACCAAGCATCCTCAACTCTTCGAATGAAGTTGCCCGAAGGGAATGCTCATGGCGCAGGAGAGTACGTAGGTAGTACAAATCACCTTCAGCAATAAACACATTGCGCAAGCGGCAGATTTTGGGGCATGCGCCTGCCTTCCCTGTTTTCTTGCCAGGCTTCCAATTTTTTTATTTTTTGTGCCATGAATGTGTGTCTGTGATAATGCTGTGCATGACACACCCTCAACTCCTGATTGAGATCCATCCACGCAGTCAATTTTGTACGAGGCGGGCCATTTTTCTGCAGCCTGGACTTCATCCCCCTCTTCGAAACAAGCCGGCTCTTCACCTTGCAGATGAACGGAGAGCCGTTTGACTGGCCGCCACTGTCATGTTATGGGGAATTCAAATATATGCCAGCAAGCTTCACTTGCTCCCACGCATCACATGTCACATTATTTTAATCGCGTTGGGTAAATGATGTCTGTGCAGCTCTGCAACCATCACTCGGTCAGAGCCTTTAAGAACATATATATACAGATATTTGCAGGCCAGGATGTTAGCAAAATACTCAACATTTATATGGCAGTTCAAAAAGCAGAAGATATGCATTATATGGGACCACACGCTCGTTATTGTAGGTTATGCTGTCATCACATAAGGAGCAGCCACCTGATTCTGGAGCTCTCCGTCTATATAAAGGGTAACCTTGCTTCTGATGGAATGTTGTGCGATCAGTAAATACCTTGGGAAAATGTTTAGGGCATCGATTCTTTTTAGTGCAAACTGCAGAAGGTGCAATGAACCCAGATCAAGACAGTTGTCGACAATGCAAGTCCAGATGAGTGTCAACCAGCTGATGATTATCAATAATCATATTCGTGTCCAGATACCCAAGAGGAGAGAAGACATACACAGACGAGGTAGATGGGAGGGAGGAAAGACTTAGAGAGGAGGAAGATAGAAACAATGCCCACTGCTACTTCGGGCTCCCTCCGCAACCGCCACCTCAATAACCAATAATCTGAACGAGTATCTGAAGTAACCTCAATGTGCCACGTGGCACGTCTAATYAGTCCCTCATCAGCGCTGGAGCAATGTCGACATGAAGATAACCAGGTAAGTATCCATGATCTCTCCACAGTATTGATCTCCTCCTGAATGACGATAATCAGAACAGCAACAAAAGTCACATAGCTTCGCCTCGTCAACCAGTAGTACACGTGGCAGCAGCCACATCAGCAATAGCGCATGGCAGCTGCCACATCAGCATGCCAAGAAGACAGGTGCAAGCCAGCCACCATGCCAGACCAGCCGCACGTCGCCGTAGGCACAATGCCAGCGCAGAGCCAGCGCTCAACCAGCTTCGCAACGTCGAGCCAGAGTCAACGTCAACGCGAGAAGACAGCATCGACGTAAGACAGAATGAATGTCAAAGCCAGGAAAGTCAGCGCTTATGTAGCGTTGACTCGGGGTCTGGACCCCGGATGCTACCACCCTCAGCCATCCAGATCTTGATCCAAGTAAGGCCCAGATTGGTCTGAAACCGATTTCCCTCCGGCCTGGATGCTTGTCTGGGTACCTGCGCACAACAAGTGACTGTATCCAACCAAGGGCCTGGGTGCGGTACCTTTGACTCTACAGTTGACTTTGACCTTTGAATTTCCTGTGTGCAGCGTTTGGTCACACAACCAACGTGATAGACTCAGGCCTACGCGTGTCTTGGTCACACAGCCCAGCGCAGACCAAGTCAGGTCTACGTTGCCTGGGCCTGAGTTCTGGGCCCCAGGCTACTTCTGAACAGGGTTACTGAATTCCTGCCGGCCCATTTTCGAGTTCCACCGCAGGAATATTTAAGACTTTAACCCTCGTTCATAAGCAACAACAATATCAGGAGCAGTTTCAATTAGTTCTCGTTTACTAAACCATCTGTCCTCAAATGGTGCCTGGGACTTAAAACGTACCTTGAACTGCTTCTGAGGTCGTCCACGTTCTCCCGTGGAGAAGTAATCATGCTCTATGATTCTGTCTACCTCATATCCGCCATCCATGTCTGGTGGAATCATAGAAGGTCTATGTGGAAACTCATTTCCTTCTACATACGGTAACAATTTGAACGCGTGAAAGACAGGGTATGTTTTGAGATGAGGGGGAATATCAATTCGATAAGACGGCCCCTTTGCATCCCCAATTACTTTGAGAACTTCCCAGGGTCCAAAATAGACAGGAAACAATTTTTGGGACACATCTTCTTTTAATGAAAACTCTTTAGATTTTACCCAAACCAGATCACCCTCTTTGAATGTAGATGGTCGACGGTGCCTGTTGGCTTGCTCAATCATCCGTAGTTGAGCTTTCCTTAGATTATCTTTGACTTTCTTAATGTCCTCCTGGAACAATATTGCATATTCTCGGGTCCCTGGGGCAACCTAAGAAACTGGTCCCGGTTTAGTACATCAATGGGACGTTTAGGTTTCCACCCTTTGTGAAGTGCATTCAGGGTTCGTCCAGTGGAAGTGTGGATACTGTTGTTATATGCACTAGCAATTTTTGGTAAGTTCTCATCCCAATCAATCTGATCGGGTCTAACATACATACGCAAAAGTTGTTGGCACAGACGGTTCATCTATTCAGTCTGGCCATTCGTTTCGGGATGCGTCCCTGACGACATGGTCAGCCGTGTGCCACAAGCTTCCATCAGCTTTTGCCATGGCAGACTGGTGAACCTGACATCTCGATCAGGCACAATGGATTTAGGAAACCCATACTCAGTGACCCATCGCATCTGAAATTTTTGAATGACAAGTTCAGTACGCGCTTCTGCTGGTAAGGGAACAAACATAGCATATTTAGAGAAACGGTCCACAATTACCATCACTTGATTATTACCATTGCAACTTTTAACCAGACTCATGAAGTCAATTGAGAT